AGAAAAATAAGAGCTTCTGAGCGGATGAGACTTTCGTATGGTCGAAAAGAATATATATGTAGAATATCTATAGAATATATATTATATATATATGAATATATATATATATGAATATATATATATATGAATATATTATAGAATATGTTATATTGGCACTGACGTGTGGGAGAAGGTGACATCTCGACAGCCAGGCTTTGCGAATGCCTTCGGTCAATGAACCAGCCTGCAAACTCAGAGGTCCTGTCAGCTATATAATGAGCTCCTAGTGAAGTGAAGCAAATTCTCATGAGTCATGAGTATTGCACAAGATCCAGAGAATGTATAGTTTGTGTTCAAAGTCCTCGTGCTACTATGCCGTTGCCATGCCTCATTGCCCCCCGATCACTAGGGGATGTTGCTCCTGCAGCTTGCAAATCGCAAGAGCTATAGATGCCACGTTGAACAGATATCCGTGCCATGTTCTGCAGGCATTTCACCTCAGTGTCAGTATGCAAGGCCCCCAATCAATATGTATTGTCATAGGACTCAGATACACGGGCACAGCGGAAGAGCTCGATGAATCTGTGGCTGAAGCTGACGAAGTTGCACAAGCCGCTCGTGAGTCTGGGCTCTTCACGCAGGTTTATGAGGTCATAGAAAGGCATGCCATTGAGTTCACTGAAGATCAGGTTAAGAATATGCTGGGGCAGATACAGGAGAAAGTCAACTTGGCTGTCAATGACTTGAAGAACAATTCAACTCTTGTGCTTTTCTATGCTGGTCATGGAGGCTTCAAAGACGGTCCGACCCTGATAGGGAGCGCTGCAAATTGGATCTCTCTAGAACCGCTGCTTCTCTCTGAACTTGCAAAGAGACGAGAAGAAAATAAGCAGTTACAGTTACATTGCATCCATTTGGGCCTTGTTCTTTCATGCTGCCGTGCAGATGTCAAAGAATTCCATGCCTTAAATGTCGCAGACAATGGCCTTCAGAAGCCCAAGGAGGGGGATACACTCAGCAAACTTTTTGCCTGTGGGACAAGTGGCTATGCTGTAGATTCAGTGCTGCTTGGATTTTCCTTTGCATACTACCTCCGGAAGCGACCAAACGATTTGGATACACTTCTGAAGCGCACATGCCAAGATGTCCAGCATTTGTCAATTGGTTATATCAGCCCAAGGTTTGTGCCCCATGGGAGTCCCGGCACATTTGAGCAGAACTTGACTCCTTGAGGTTCAAGCCGTGTCGACAAATAACCACACCATGATTGCCACATTGTTGTTGAAGGTTTTGATAGCATCCCAGAAAGGAGAGTGTGTTGACTGTGAGGGTGGATGGGCAAAGGCAGAAACTGCAAGGTTTGGGTGATCATTTGAGAGACGTAGTACTTGGAGGGGGCTCAATTTTGCCAAAAAGGATTTGGAGTCTTTATGAGGAAAGCGAAACCGGAGAAAGTTAGGTACAGTAGGAATCCAAACGCCTGAATGTCATTTATGAGCGGACTTTTTCGCAGGGTTCCAAATTTTGCGACCGAGAGTAGGATTTATGGTGCGGTATCGTTCTGACGGTTTGTCAACTATAGACTAGATGGATCATGCATTTGACTTTATGTTCTCGAGATTTGAATCTTTGGAGAAGCTTTGTATTCCTGTGGAGGATAGAACCAAACTTCTGAGATCTGGATTGATCTGGATTCAGATCTAAAGATCAAGCAGATGTTTCGTCAGTGGTAGAGAGGTGAATGCAGAAGGCAAGGGACCCTGTGCACAGTAAGGGTATGTAGCGTTTGGCCGAAGGATCTGATAGGGATTGCTTGCATGTGTATGTCGCAAAGCCTGATGTGTTGTGAATTCTGAAGTGGTTCCAATGAAACCAACTCGCTTGGTTGCCAACCTTCAACAAGCAGCAAGCATCATATGGCGGAAATGCTAGATAGCTTGAAGGACTTCCTAGGGAGAATGCCCCGACAAGGCTTGTTCAGCTTCTACGAGAGCTGTACGAATCGTAGCAAAGCCTACTTATGCAGCTTATGCATTAGTATTGGGTATCCGGGATCCGTACTCTATCCAGACACTTAGTAGCTTAGTAATAGTACCTTTTTTCATGCGCCAAAAGAGCCGCTGGTTTATTTTGGCAGACTCTGCAACTGTCCAAAACAGTCTAAAACTGTTTGGGCAGAATGTCAGACAAGTTGTGTTGAGAGCCGAGAGCACCCGTTTGCGGCAAGGAATGATGGAACTATTGACCTGCATTATGACAGAACTGATGGGGTCACACCAATCATGACCGACGTTGAGCTAATGCATTTGAAGGATGCCCGTTTGCTTGCCAAGCACATCTTTGAATTGGTGCAGAAAGAGATACGCAGCGAGAATGGCTATGACCAGATGAGGCAAGTGCTCTCAGACATCGCTGAACTTGTGCGAAGTCAGGAAAGGCGAGTGTCCAATTTGCAAGTACAGCTCAGAGCCCTTTGCTGCAAAGATATGCAGTCTTTGCAAGAAGCGCTGGAGAAAAGTCTTTCCAATTCTATCCTTTCCATTGATGAAAACGATGCCAGCATATTCATGCTTGTACCCAGGAAGACATTCGAGGCCTTCTATGCAGCACTCACTGACAATCTACAAAACCTTGCAGAGGACACGTATGGCATGTATGGTGACAGAGAAAAGGCTGATGCGGAACTTGACACTGCTCTTGATTGCCGGGCACCTCTCGTCAAAGAAGTTCTTTTGAAAATCGGATCCCTATATAAAGAACATCGCTTCACACCTCAGAGCGAGGAACCACGGGATGTTCAGCCACATCACACATTCATTGAATCACGGGGGGCTTCTCCCAGCAGCTTGAGCAGACAAGAGCGGCGACAAGTCATTGACAATGTGTGTGACCTGCTTAAGCGCTTAGGCATAGATTGCGAAACAGTCTATTTGCTTGAAGGCAGTTTGTGGATTGTCCTGAGAACAGCCCAGAAACTAGAGATGGATAAGGAACTCAGTCTTGAGAGGGAGCTTTCTGTGTACATCCGTGGGTGTGTTGAAAGCAAGAAGCTGGGTTGGATCTTTGCACAAGATCCTGAAGTGAAGAGAACAGCACTGGTTCCTCCTGTTGTCCTGAACCTGGTCCGTTTTGCAAGCGACATTTGCGCAAAGTTGAAGCGCGAAGGTTGCAATGACGACTTTTCATGTACGTGGCTGGACGTGTTGGGGTTGAAAGATATCCTGTCGCCAACAGTGGTTGGACAGCAGTTGTGGCTGCTGGTCAACGGGCAGGAACTGGATGATGACCATTTGCTGCGTACCACTACTGGTTTGCAGATAGTCAGTGCACCAAAATGGGAGAGTTTGGCGTGGCACCCGAAACTTGTTGAACCGTTGGCCAAGCTGCCACAAAGACTGCCATTGTTAGCCCGAACGAAAGGGTTTCAACACTTGTGTTTGGCTATTCATGGTCTTTGCTGCACACAAACGGTATCTATGCTCTCGAACCTTTCCCTTCAAGTCGTTCGTGATCTTCTTGAGAGGGACGCAGCATTAGAATGCGTAGATCCCTTCAAATTGCTGAAAGAGGTGCTTGGGCGAACCATAGTATCATATGTCATCATACATCCTTATACTGTATATCCTTTAGTCTTTTTGTTTTGCTTTGTTGGGCTAATGTAGCAAACTGCAGCGCCAAAGTGTTATATACTTGGAATGGCTCCTTGCTCTTTTGGTTAAGGTGTTCCGCCAACTACTTCTCGAATGGCATCATCAGCATTCACGTTCGATCCAGAGTCGGGAGCGACCAACGCTGGCAGCTTCTTCTGCTGAAGCATCGCCGCCAGCTGCACTACAGACCGCAAGAAATGTGATACTCGATTTGCATAAACAACTGGTGTCTCTCCCAAAGACACAGAAGAGGCTTCTGAAGTTGGCTGCAGTTCCGTTGAATGCTCCACCTGCCTTGATTGACGAGTTCAGCAGGGTATTGAAAGCTCTTGGTCAGCCGGTGACGACACGTGGCGGGCCATCTACGAATGATGAAGTGGATGGTGAAGTGGTAGCCACTTTGGACGCTTTGCTCGCGAACATTGAGAGCATGGGTTGCGAGAATGCTTTGGATCACTTTATTGACGAATGGAAATAGACCCTGCATAAAGATCTCTAAAGAATCACAGAAACAAGAGCGAGAACTTATGTGTAGTGGAATTTGAAAAAGCCGATTTGCTCGGGATTCGTGCTGAGTGGAAGCTGCTGCTAAAACAAGAGGGTCATTTCATCGGGACACTACAACGCTTAGAGGGCCCATTTGGAAGGATGGCTGTTGAGTGCAACAAGCCCCGCCTTGAAAAGCAAGAGGACACTCCATCCTACGTACATTGCTGAGCACCTGTAGTGTGTAGATCCTGCATTCTTCCCGACAAGCAAGTGCTTTACCGAGACAAAGAAGCCATACCATGTTATCTAACATTCGCTATTGTCACATATGGTTCCATCAAGGATTTTTTTTGCACGACACAGAAACATGCATCTCACACAGGTACCAAAGCTTTTGCTTGGCAAAAGCCGCCCTGCCAAAAGGGTGTGGCCAAAGAGAGCAGCAAAGAGTAAATTGAAAGAGCGGCGTGGGTCACAGAATGGTCCGAGGTACAAATCAACCTGCACTCCTTGCGTTCTTTGAGTGGCAACAACTTGGCGGCCATGGCAGAGGATGCCTGAAATTTGTTTGAGTTTGTTCTTTTGAGCAGTTCATCCATCAACAAGGCTTGTTTTGTGCCACTGCTACTTTTTCATGTCCGGTATGAACTTCCATTGGACTAAAAGACCATCGACCGTCGAGTTTCAGCCCAGGATAAATAAGTCGTGGGCTGACTGGCTGAATATTATCAACCGGTAATGTGTTGTTTAGTTATGGTTTGTTTCAAGGATGCTTCTAGGCTGAAAGGTGAGACTGAGAAAACTGATCCTAATCTGGTGAATTCGTTAGTTTTTCGGGCAGGTGATGAATTATGATGACCCAACAATTGATAGAAGTTAGCTGCCTCGGGTCTCCTTCCTTTGCTTTCGCTTGCCTTGAACTTGAACATCCACCTCTTTGGTGCCACAAGAGCGCAGGACACTGATCGGACGGATTGGGTTCCACCGTGGCGTGGCAGCAGATGAAGACCATGAGATCATTCATTTCTTGGTTGTATGTACAGCATCAAGATGCAAATTCATTTGATTGAACGGTTGGTCTCCACAATCAGCCTCTCCTGACATCCTAACTTCATGGCCGTTGAGGCTGATGCACAGCAGGCCGAGCTGCACAAAACTGCTGTTTGGATTGCACGTGTGCGCAGACCCTGACATACCCGCTATGGGAGCCATTGAATGTTCTGATTTGGGGTTTTTGTAAGTGAGGCTCATTGTATCTCACTGTAAGAATTTGTATGCAACTTTTGGGAAACTTGGTGCGGTGGAGTTTGCTGTAGACTGTAGACGCTGCGAGCTGCAAGGTGTGCTGGTGCGAGGTGCTTGTGGATAGACAAGTCTGGTTTTCTGGACGTTGATCCGTGAAAGATCGCAAAAGCCTCCCTTCAGCCCGAGCAGAAAGTACAGAGCAAGACCACATGTCCAACATCCCTCAGTAGATCCACCCTGTGGATGAAACTTTCACTGCCTTCAAGTTAAGAAAGTAGTGACAAGATATTACAGTACATAGGCGATGTTGAATCTTGTGGGACCGCTGAGAATGCACGATTCTGGTTGTGTCTCTGTAAGTTGAAATGCCACAAGTTTTTGTTGTGAGGCACAACTCCCTGGAGTTCCGGGAGAGCACGCTGGTTCCCGCCTTGGATGGTAGAACTTGTGGCTTTTCAACATTGATGGAGCAGATGATCAATTCTGTGGAATGGATTCTAGCAGATGAACGTAAAATATGATGGATATTGCAGACGTTCCTTTTTGTTTCTCTCGGAAATTCAACAACGCCAAGTCAATGGCCACTCCGATGATGATACCCCCAGCTTTGGCCTCAGCAAGTCTTGGATGTTTGGAAAGGTCAACGGACAGAAAGAGGCTCGATCTTCAAGGTCAAACCCAGACGGCATATGGTGCATTTTTGCCTTTATGCTGAAAGCAGTGGCACATTGGCCTTGCAAGCGTTTGCCAAGGTTGCGTCTGGCCATAATCCAATCTTGGGGGAGACAACTGAGGCGGTCTCTATTGAGGGTATCAGCATTCAGCATGTTTACAGTGTTTTCAGACCGCAGTCAAATGTAACTTAACCCGACATCCCAGATAATTGTGTATCAGTCGGTACAAGGATGCCTGGGAACATGTTTGCTTCAGGAGGCAACCATGCCTACGATGCCTACAACCACGGTGGAGCAATTCTGGCAATCAAGGTCAGTGTTTTTGGACGGTAGGACAGCTTTCGGCAAAGAACGGCAGAGACAGATATGGACAGATTTGATATGCACCTTATCCATACATTTGCCATTCCTCCAATCGTTCAAGAGAGAAGTACGCGAGTTGTGAAGTGTACACACTGTGAGCTCCTAGCGCGTGAACCTTTTGTTAACGAGCATCCGTACAGTTGCACAAAAACGATGATAAGCATGTGTGCGAGCACTACAGTAATTAGTTCAACTGGTTCAAGTGTTGACGGGCACTGAGGATACAATCACTCATCCATGTGTGCTAAGGTCTAGTCCAGAGTACAAATTGAACATGAGCAGCAAGCACAGTGAACATCAGTTGAGCAAAAAGTTGGGAACATGCATACCCAATCCTGGGAGATAGGACGGCAGCGAATTTGTGGCGAATTGGAAAAGCATTTTTGAGCGGGCCACCTGTGTAGTGAGAATAAGCAGCTTGAAACAAACATCCTCCTTCCGGCTCATAGTTGAGTGTGTCTTGCAGTGTCCACAAGCAAACCTGGCATGGCAGGGATGAGTCTCACTTCCGTGCAGTCCCCAGTCTTTCTGAGGTATGATTCCATAGCAACCAAAAACTTGATTCAATAAAACACTTTTGGCCCACGTGGCAGTGTATTCTGTTGCACACTCACAGATCCTGTCAACTATGTCAACAAAATTTCAGCATGCTCCAACTGTATCAGTTCCGTCCGCCTGAGGTGACTGCACCAGCAAGTTGGATCCCAACCAGGTGTCGGATGTCGACGGTTTCTGTCACGAGAAGGTACACAAAAGGGCTTTGGTGCGCTGGAGTGCTAGATAGGGACAAGTGCCTACTTGCCTAATTACTGTACTCTATTTCCATCGCTCCAGTGAATCCAGATGAAAGGCTGTGGCTGCCAAATTCCAGAATGGAGCCTGCACCGTAAGTTGTCTACTTCGCTTCAAGGAATGGGTGGGTTTCTTCATTAGCTCCTCACAACACAAGTACTGCAAAACGGCAAAACTACATTATAGCATATTATAGCCAATTCTCCGAGACTGTCAAAAGACATCTTGAAGCTATTGAAACAAGAATGTCCAAAGATCCACTTCACCGACGATTTGGACAGTGAATGTTTCCTGCTTCGCAGTGGGTGGACCATACTTACCTCGGCACAGCACTGAGATAGTTGCCAATGGTAGACGGTGTGATTGGTTTCAAATGGTAGACAACTGGTAGACGGTGTGATTGGTCCCTGAAGCAAGATCCTTCAATGAGAGAGTTTGAAGATCAAGCGGGAATAGTGACTGGTGAAGCATGAAGCTCAAGGTTGTGCAATTCGAGAACTATATAGGCTGTGAAAGTGGAGACGAAACCTGCGATCCAAAACAACTGAGGTGACAATATCAAAGGCTACTCTTCGTGGCCCAAAGGCTGGCCTGACTTGGGATGTCGGGAAGGCAACGCAAGCGTCGGTCAGGGGATAGCTCACGAGCACATTGTTTCTGAGCATACCCTACTTTTGCTTCATTAGATAAGGACCAAGGAACCACGGAAGTGACCATCCTCAGATTGGTGCAGCCGCTCGTCTGTTTTCTTTTGGCATTGCTCTAACCATTCGAGTCCACTAAGTTCAGCCACAACAGAGACCCAGAAAAAGTAAGAAAGAGTATGACAAGGATGAATTTCAAGATGGGTCAGAAATTACAGCATCAAGATGTGTCAGTGGAATTCGATATATCTATATTATATTGATATTACAATATATATATATATGTATATTAATATGAATACAGGGATAATCGAAGAAACGCGTGATGTGAACAATTGTTTGGGAGGTTTGTGGTGGGTGGGTGGTGACGCCCTTGTCACAGGCTTTGAGCATATGGATACTCTTTACCCTGTTTGAGCCTCAGATGTGGAAATCCACATTGCTGGTTCAGGTGAGAGTTTCACCAGGGGGCTGGTGCAACCCGACAATGGCTGAAATGCAGAACTTTGGGGAAGCACGGAACGAATACAAAATCAAGAATCAGTCAGCAAAGAGCCAAATGAACTTGAACTATTCGTATCTATTTGTCTCTTCTTGTCGAAAGCTCAGAACACAATAGACGAGCAGTCAGTGCTACCAGGCGACGGACCTTTGCACCGTAGGCTCGCAGTAAGCGCGTGGGCCCAAGAATATAGACCTACCTGCTTCACTTTCCATTCAGATAGGTTTGAGACCGTTGCGTCTTGGGGGTGGATGACTGAACAAAGCTTGGATCCTGCTCATGCGTGAATGCTTGCGTTTGAGGCAGTTCAATTTCGCGCATCTGCAGCGGGAGGATGTTGGCAACTGTAGCCTAAGGTACAGCAGTCTGTCATTCGCAGGTGGCAAATAGGCAGAGTCTCCCGCAGTTTTACCGCCTCTTGACGGATCACCACATATTTACATTTGCATATTTGGTTTCAGGATGTAATTATGTCAGTGAGAGACATGATCCACATCGACATGGGTGGGTGAGTCCACATATGTACTTCAACATCACATTGGTCAGTGTCAAGAGATGGGAGGCCAAGCTGTTATGCCATATCCGTTCGTATCCTTTTCTCAAGCCCAACAAGGCCCAGGAGATCTCTTGCGGCACTTTGAACACATTCGAACAACAGCCCGTATATAATGGCTCCTCCCTTGAGGTATACCGTCACCTCTCAAAATAACTTTCTAGAAATACTTCTTTTTTGAAAATATTTGAGAAAGGTGGGTGGGTAGTGGGGACCCTGGTAGTTGCTTAAGACTGGGGTATACGTATCCAAAAAAATAATGTTGCTTCCAAAGGTGTATGCTGCCAAAAACAAGTTTTTCAGGCCACCCGCGAGGATACCTCAAAATAATTTCCACAAGTTGAGGAGAGTGGAAGAATGTTGAAGAGAAAGGTGATCGCAAGAGAGGTGTGTGTTTTTTCTGCTGCCTTTTTAAAGATGGGGTTGAACGTCAATGTCAAAGCAAAGTTTAGAGGCTCATTTGACATTTTGATAGAACATGCAAGCTGATCAGGAACACATAAGAAAACAAACACTGTTAAGCAAGTGCCATTAAAAACATCTCCCAAGTAATACTATTGCTGAGTGAAGCCACAGGAAATCCTGCCGAGTATTTATTTAGACGGTGGAGGTAGCCCTTAGATACCCCCGCATAATATGGTTGGGTGGTGAGAGCTGTGAGGGGGGTGGCCCAGGAATTACCCCACCCCTCAAATAAATTAGTCGGAAGTCTTCCGTGTAGGAGATAACCAATGGAATTATATAGCGAGGGGGTAGCCCAGGGGGCACCCCACCCCTCACTGTTCTTTCTATTCTTGCTCTTGCTTCTGTGTTTTTTAAGCATAGCTTGTGAACGCTTTTGACTTCCAACTTCAATGCGCGATCAACTAGGGGACCGGTCCCCTCTCGAAAGCTCTCACAAGCCAGGGGGGGTCCCCCTCTTAGCAAGCAAACTATCAGCGCTGGCTGTAACAATTTCAGAGGGGTGTGGACCCGTGGAAATAATTAGGGGGTGGGGGGTTGGGACACCTGGAAAATACTTAATTGTTTATTATTTTAGGTGGGGGACCACTTCTCCCTACCCAGAAGGTAGGGGCATCGTATATAGATATTTGGAACCGACGAGAGCCTCTTAGGCCTCCATATGCTCCCAAACCAGGCTTCGTAAGGAACAAGCTGGAAGGTATCCTGCATAGTGCATTGAAGGGCCAGCAGCGTGTCTGTTCAGGCATCGACGGATCTCCAACAGATCTGAACCCATGGATCTTGGACACGGATCAAAACCATAGAGCTCCATGACGGATCTCACATCCAACGGAGATCTCCACCTTGGCATCTTTAGCCAAGGAGAGGCAAGATGGCAAGACGGCGAAATGACGCCCTCAGAAAAAATGCGGTCACGTCCAGGGGCTTCTTTGGCACGGATGGTTTTGTTTTGTGGCAGCAGATAATTATTATCGTTGAGAAGGGGACCCTTGTCAACCGTTGGATTCCAGTCTATTTCATGCCAATGGGCACAGCCAGTTTGTCGAAGAGCTGAAACCCCAGAGTGTTCTGGCGGGCCGAAACCTGAAACCATCAGAAACCACAGCAGACAGAGCTAGGGAAATTTGTTGGTTTGTTCTGTTCTTTGATTCTTCGCACCACAGTGCGAAAGCCTATTCTGAAGCCTCATGTGACTCATGTGCTTCAACTCGCCTGTTCTGGAAGCTTCAACCTGGGTGCAAAAGACAAGCTGGACGGTGACTGCCAAAAAAAAAACACAAAAAACTGTGAAAGAAAAGGGAACATGGCTGCTTGGAAAAGTTTTCCAGGACTGCTCACCTCATCCCAGTTGCTACAAAGTTTGGATTCGTTCCCTCTGATACAATGAACAGACCATAGTTCTTTTATTTCAGATTGTTTGGTGTCAGGGAGAGTGGCAGTCCATTTCCTGGTTCGCTGTGTTCGCATGGGCCATTGGAGGAAACTCTAATGCAAGGTCCACCATCAAGCCAATAAGCAAGATAGCAAGATAAGCCTCAAATGATTTGCTTATTCGAGCTCGATTGGCTGGACATTCTGTGAAGGGCAGCCATTTTGTAGCCTTGCCCTTTGATATCTTTCGATATCGGTGGCCTGGGTCACTTGCACGTCTAAGCTCGACTAATCTCCTTTTCAGGATGTGCACTCTCAATGGGGCATACCATTTCATGGATCAGGGACCTTTTTAGTCATGCCCCTTGCACAGTTCGCAGTTCTCCGCAAAAGGTTTCTCGAGCACAGATGTCCAGTGAGCCAGCGTGTGTCAAAGATTTCTAACGAAAGGTGCCGGTCTGAGCCAATAAACATGTTCTCTCAATGATTTTTTTGATAGGGCTAGTGTCATCAGCTTGCAATGCATCATGTGTTGTTATTTGCCTTGGATACTTTATACTTTGCACTTGAACCTAACTTGATCTTGGTCTGATTCAAGGGATTGAATCTTTTGCATAGAATGGGCTTCCTAGGCAAATGTTGAGTGTCAAGGAAGGCACGGTACTTTGACATTGGAGCGAGACGCTGTTGATTTGGTGGGGAGAACTTGCTCAAGCCTGCTCCTGAAATTTTGCAAGAATTGGTTCCATTTTTTCTTGCCTTTGTCAAGTTAACTTGGCAAGATGCACGGAAAGCTTCCGCTCAAAAACAGGGCTTACATGTTGCGTGTGGGTGGTATGCATGTTTTTTCAAAGCACAATTGTTGGGTGTGTGACACTCTGAGCATATTTTTATTTCTGTAGGGACTGCCCTGAGCGCTTGACTAAAATGAGTTGGTCGGGAAGAGTACAGCTCCAGTGCAGACGAGGCAGCAGGGGAGGCTGCTGGAAACTGTCGAAGGTTCCAAAAGACAGACAGCTCGTCCAGTGCAAAGGCTCATTTTGTGTGACTGGACACAAGAAGAGCGGGCGGGCATGAGAGATCTGCTTTGCAGATCAAACTCTCCAAATCTGTTGAATTCTCCGTGCTGCAACCTAATTTTGGTTTGTAGCATTGGCATCTGTGGCGGAGAAGTGCTGCTTGCAAAGCCACCGCAGTTTCGGTGACGCAAGCGCGATTCTGGTTGAGTTAGTGTTCGATCAGGAGCAGTTTTGTTACTTCGTGATTTTGATCCGCCGAAAAGATCGCCCTCACTAACGGATGCAGTGGATGCTCCCGTAGTGATGACATGACATGCAACGCTGCGGTTTGTTTTTGTGAAAAGAGAGGAACGTACTGAGTGTCCAAACATGTGTGTGTGTGTCTTTGGGCATTGACATATGAAGACAAAGCATAGATGTTGTCCAGTTTGATAGACAGGTGTCCAAGCTGTGTATTACACATACTATGTGTTAATATATATATATATATGTGTGTTGATATGATACTCTAGACGTGTTCTGGTTTCTATTGAATGAGCCTAAGTCTTGTAATGTGTTCCTGCTAGTTTTCCATTAAATTGTCCATTCCAAGCGAAGCAACAAATAGAATGCAACAGAAACGTTACTTCACAATCCTTGGTGGCACGTTGTGCCAAAGTGTTTGGTCGTTTACCTTGATGCTTCAGTTTGCAGAGTGCAAAGCATGTCAGCCAATTACTTTTCCAAATTTCAATCTCTACTGGCCAAGAAAGAGCCAGTTATTTGATAGGAAAGATGCCGTGTGCTGGAGTCGGTCTCCTCCAACAGAGAGCTCAGCATATTCCTGCATCGTGCATATGTTCAGCAGCAACCTACTTATGTTGAGATCTAGAATGCATTTGGAAACCATAGTTTGGTCAATACTACCAGTGGCTTGGAGCCTCAAGGGAACCAGCTGATGCTTTTCCAGAGAACTGTCGTTTTGGCAGACATCCAAGAAAGCCATGACCCGTAGTGTCAAGGAACATGAATGCGAAACAAGTTGTTTGGCGGGTTTGGACGTTATCGTGCCAATCTAGTTGGTGTTTGAGTTGTGCTGAAGACTCACCCGGGAGACTGGCACCGGCGCACCTTCTGAGTCCACATGCTCGTGCATTTTGAAGACTCAGGTGCGAGGTTCGCGACATCCGAAGACAAAAGGACCCTGCTCCACACGAGATCTGTGATCACATATATGATGAGACGTCCCCGGTAATTAAGACGACCGCGTTCGGAATCGTTTTTATACACAGAGTTTGGCTCGAACGCACATGCCCTGTCGGGACTGCGGGCTCCTTTGCGGGGAGCACGAGCCATTGTGCACGTTCTGCCGGACTCGCAACCGCTTCTGGTTCGTGCTCGACGATTTGCCGGTTCAGCTACGTTCCTGGGCCGTGAACAGCCTTCGAATCTGGACAAGTATCCTTCAGGAAGAGGGCGACAAGCACCAAGAGCACGTTCGCTTGCAGGAAGAGGCCGGCAAGACCACTGCACCCAAGGCGAAGAGCCCGGCTTCAACAGTTTCTCCTGGTCCGGGGAGAGCAGAGTCGGCTGAGGGAGAGGAACGCCCCGACAAGACTTGGGTCAAGCCGAAACGCGAAGAAGAGGAAGCAAGGAGCCCCGTCAAGAAGGAGCTCAGTCCGAAGGAGGCCGAGGGAGAAGGCAAAGAGACCAGCTCGTCGAAGGCACATCATCGAGAACCTGATCAACGGTCGAGGAAAAGGAGCAGGACCCGAAGCAGGGGTCACAGAGACCGGAAGAGGGCAAGCAAGACCCGTTCGAGGAGTCGGAGAAGGCGAAGGAGGAGTTCGAGAGGTGAGGCAGCGGGTGAGGCCACCCTACGTGAGCGGGAGCCAGCACCAGCAGAGAGGAAAGCCAAACCTTCAGTTCGACCACCACGTACGCCATCGATATCACCTCCGGGGAGGCACAATCCTCCTTCCAGGACCCCGCCTATCATCAGGCCAGCGGTCAAGAAGTGGGACGGAAGGCCACCTCCGTGGAAGT